TTCCCCGCCTGCCCTCCTTTCTTACCCCCCTGGTTTACAGCTTACACCCCCTTCCACATCCACTCTCCGTCTTAAGAACAGGAGTACTTGTGGCACCTTAGAGACTAACAAATTTATTAGAGCATAAGCTTTCGTGGACTACAGCCCACTTCTTCGAATGCATACAGAAGTGGGCTGTAGCCCACGAAAGCTTATGCTCTAATAAATTTGTTAGTCTCTAAGGTGCCACAAGTACTCCTGTTCTTTTTGCGGATACAAACTAACACGGCTGCTACTCTGAAACTCTCCGTCTTGTTACACTGGAGCAATTCTGTGAACCAGGGCTCTCCAGTTAGCCTAGGTTTTGGGTTTTTTCTCTGCTGCTTCCTCCGGCCCACTGTTGAGTCAGCTGAAGCTCTGCAGAGTCCTCTCATTCTCCCACTCCCCACCCCATCCTTCTATTTACACTCCTCCGGGCTCAGCCCTGCATATAGTCCCATTGAGGAGGACAGAATGAGACTCTTGGCAGAGTCTTTAATAGGGCAGACCAATGCGGGTCCCTCCCTATCCCTGCCCTCAAGGCACTGCCCCTCAGCCCTATTCCTAGCTGGAGATCAGCTCCAGGAATCAAACGCAGGGTCTCCGAAAGGGCAGTGCAGGTAACCGCACCCCAATGTGTCAGCCTGGTTCTGTTTAACAGAGCTGGGGCAGAATGGCCAAAGGGCTGCTCCCTTGCTGGTTGGCTCAAACCCCTGTAGGTGAGTTAATTTAAAGCTTTATCTGTGAAATATCTAACACGTCTCAGTGTCTGGTCTTTGTTCTTCTCCCCTGACGCTTCCCTCTCATTGCTGAAATTGTTGGGTGAATAGCTGTGCTTCGCTGGGTAGATTTACCGGTCTGTTAAGGTGTGTGTCTAGGAGTGCAGGGAGGTCACTTTGGGTATCTGTAACCCCGAGTTCTATCTCCCCTCCTGGGCCCAAATTAATTGGGTCTTTCAGAAAGTGCTTTCTCTCTGATCCTCTAGGGGAGAGCCTTCATTACCAACTAGCCTCATTTGTCACATTCCAGAAGACTTATTGACTAGTCTACACACGCAGACACTTCAAAGTGTGTTGCTTACTCCCTGTACAGACGTGTTTGGGATGAGCCAAGCTAGCAAACACACTGTTGTTCGGGTTTTCCTCTGTGGAGGGGGAGTGAGGGGTTACAGTAGGGGAAGGGCTATACTACAATTTACCAAGGGTGAATTGGTTGAATTCTAACTGATCTGACTTTCCGTGTGTTCATGGAGCCTGATTTTTTTGGGGAGGGCGGGGGGGTAGATTGAAAGGCTGCCGCTTTCCAGTGCAGCATGATTTAATCTGGGGCCTCTGAAATGATGCTAGTCCCCTGAAGGTTCCAGTGCCTTGTGAACACCTGTACAGCCGGCTGAGGACACAGTACGTCCCTGTGGTTTTCTGTGCAGCCTCCCCTCCTGCATACAGCCGTCATGCTGACTAGAGGAGGTTCATGAGTTGTTCCCCCAGCAAGAGCCACTTTGTAATGTCATAACTTTCCTCCTCTGCAACCCCACAAATGTGAATCAGAGCTGAGTCGTATAGTACCCTGTCACTTCACTGAGGGGTCCAGGAGCAGGGGTGGGAGGAAATGCTTATTCAAATGCACTTGAAATGTGGATTTAGAAACGTATTCATACTGTTTATAATGTGTTTTACAATCTGCCTCAGTTTGCAAGCAGAAACAGTCCAACTGCAGCTTTTTTCAGCTTCCCAAACCGCTCAGAGAGAGGCCTTACAGCCGAACTGAGGAGTCCTTCTAGCTCTTCTTTTGACATGTACAGGACTGGCTTTGTTCTTCATAGAGCACAATGTTCTGCCTATGGACGCTGAGGATTGCACATCATGTTTCCTGAATCTCCTCTGTTAAACTGACCCCAAAAGCCTAACGCTGTGGCGAGGAATTAAAGATGGGAGGGGAAAATAAAATATCAAACTTACAATGACTTAAAAAAAAAATCACCATTTCTGCCAGTCACCATGTTCTAGAGGCTGTCCAGTGAATCCCGTGTAACACAGACACTGAAACTCACTCCTTCTGCCGAACGGAGAAGCAGATTGTAGCATCCTGTTTCCAGGTGTTGAGCTTTTGGTGGAGATAAAAGCAGTCTGTCAGTACGTTTCCCCCCTCCTCCTCACTTCTCTTCCTCCTCCCTCCCCAGCATTGCAAGCAAACTACAGGTACAATGGGAGGGGAGAATGCAGGGTCCAGGAGCAATAGAAAGCTCTAAAATCTCTCTGCAGAGAACAACTTGCACTTTTAAAAACGTGTCGACATATCATGAGTTGTTACCAATCCCTGAGATTGTAGGAGGGACAATGAGGTTGCTTTTAGGTGAACTATGAAGGAAAAGAATAACACACAATGTAGTCACACAACCCTGTCCTTACATGTTGTGTATAAGCGGTGTGTGTGAATTAACTGGAAAGATGACAGTCAAGTGCTGACTTAATTGGGTTCATTTTAATGAACTTGTTACAATTTTTTTAATTGGTAGTTTTCTCCCAGCAGTGGGGACATTTTTCTGTGGTTTGCGTTATCTTCTCCCCCATCAGAAGGCTTCAACTCAGATTTTTCCTCCCATTCTGCTTGGACATAACTAAACCCTCCTGCCTGTATCCCAAGCAGTGCCTTCAGAGCAGTGTAGAGACAGGAACCTTTGTTTATGGTGTATTTTTAACTTTAGATGCCAAAAACAGTCCGGAAGCCAATCTGGATGCACAGTGTTCTTTTGGTAGCAAGCTGCTTTCTCTAGCATTCTTGTTCACCAGGGGAATCCACGTAGCCACGGCTCTATTTTTGTTTCTGAACATCAAACCGAAGAGTTGCAGAATTGTAAAAGCCCCCTCTTAAGGAGCAGAGCTACTAAAGAAAGGTCATTAAACTAACTAGCCCTTGCCTCAGCACTGATTGCTGTTGGTGCAGCTTTTATAGAAACGTTTAAGCGCATTCCAGTGAGCACAACTCGTGAATTAATACCAGCACAGTGAGTGGGAAAGGTAGTGCTCACATTTGACGACTCGAGTACTGAACATTGTGGAGGATCTATTGGTGTGGCTATTCCACAACATGGCCAGCAGGTGACAGCACTAAACCAACTATTCCTCTGCTCTATTGTCTATAGAGAAAACGGCTGAAATCTATTTACAGGAATTTCCCTGATTAATGAACCCTGTTTAAAATTAAGGACTAATGTACACACCCAGATATCCACTTGAACATTAGGCAAATGCATATCAAGCCAACTGAGTTACAGAATAACCTGTAACCACAAAGCTTCAGCGGTGGGCTCATTTTTCCACACCCCATGAGGGACCTATAGTTTTACTTGTGCTCAGGTGTGGTATAATATTTGGTATTCTATATGGCTTAAAAATCCATGTTTGTCTCTTCCCCCCTTTTCAGCTATATAATACATGCCCCTTTTTTGTCCCCTTGTGTTTCTGTTTGCTGTTGTTTGAAACAGTGGGTTAATACACCGGCTATCTGTGACTGGAGAGGTACATTCAAATACTAATCAGATCACGAGTGAAAAATGGTTTTAGTGTGTAATCTGTCTTATTCCCCAGTGGGCATCTGTCCACTTTTCCAAGCTGCCATGCAGTGTGGCGCAGCTGACCACCTGTGCGAGCCGGAATCCCAACATCGGAATGGGAGGTCCAGATGCAGGCGTGGTCGCAGGGTTGGACGATCCTGGCACCAGACTGATGTGGGGTATTGCAGGTCAAGGCTAAGGGGGTGATGCCTTCACAGCAGGGGCTGTGGTCACAAGGGGGACCTAGGTGCCCAACTATCTAGGGGCCTAAATCCAACTGTTCGATGCCACTGGATTCACAAAGCGTCTGCTCAGCCGCTGTCTAACCCTGTAGCCACCTAAATTCCCTCTGTGCTTAAGTTTCCACTGGTAAAGTCCCCTAGGCCCCTACATTTCTACTGGGGGCATGCATGGAGCCCCTGGGGTCCTGCACACAGCAGCCGTGCTCCTGACCCATGCCTAAGCCCCACTGGGATTCCCAAAGCACGAAGAGGAGAAGGTGGTGATGGCACCTAAATCTCCCTTGCGAAGCTGGCCCTCTCGGGTTTTACCGGATAAGGAGTAGTGCGTGGTATTAGCACCTTGCTGCCACGAGCGCCAAATTTACCTACAAACTAAAAAACGAAACAATTCTTTTCACTAGACTTGAACCACCTGCAGATCCAACCCATCACATCAGGTCTCTGGTAGCAAATGAAGGAGCCTGGAGCCCTCTA